TCCTGCCACTATTCTTCCTACTTGTTTTAGGAAGCACTGTCTAACCAAAACTGTCATCTTTGTGAAAGAGTCAGGACTTTTACACAGCTTCTTAAATTTTACTTATATCATGGGTGGGAAAGCTATTTCACAACTCTGAGCTTGTAACATTCTGCGTCAGAAGTGGCATTACATAGGCCACAATATCCTCAGTTTCCTTATTCTTATTTTTATTCTGTCATTGCTGAGCTAACTGGAGTGGAAAAGGGGTGGTAACCATGTCAGAGACAGAGGGGAAGGAAAGTGGCCGACCAGTGTATATACATGTGCCTCAAATACAACTCGGACTTTAGAGTGCAGGCTGACGAGCCCAAAGCAGTACCTGTTTGGCCTGATCTGGAACAAGGGAGAGAACCTAAGAGTATGATGGTCAAAACGTATTTGTATACATCACTGAAAGCTTAGTTATCTCAAGGATTCCAGGTAGCTGAGATTCATAAGGCAAGGAGTCAGAAGTCAAGTCCTAGCACATCTGAATGCTGAATCTAAGTTTTCTTAACTGCAAAAGAAGTTCACAAATAATTATTTCCTTATTACCTTCAAAAAGTGAGCAAAAACACTTCTTACTCTATATATCTCCTTAGTCTATCAATAGGTTTTAACTCAACTTTAAGTAAAACTGAATTTTCTCAAAAATTAAAAAGAAAAAAGACTTCTCTTTGTAGCATACTGTACATTTCAATAAGAAAATCATTTTTACAAAGAGATATAGGGTCATAATTCCAAATTCCAATTAATTCATGTCATTTTAAAAAATTATGCTTTGTACTTTTCTAATAACATATACTATATTATATAGTATACATTCAGCCATCTTCTTTAAAAAGTTGTATGATCAATATTTTAATTTTAATTTTTTAAATTTTTAAATTTTTTTAAATCCTTGCCCAAGGATATTTTTTACTGACTTGAAAGAGAAAGAAACATCGATTGGTTGCCTCTCATCTGCACCTTGACTGGAGACTGAACCCACAACCCAGGCATGTGCCCTGACAGGGAACTGAACCTGTGACCATTCGGTGTACAGGACCATGCTCCGACTAACTGAGCCACCAACCAGGACTCAATATTGTTAAAAATAGAAAATTCCATCAGTGACATAAAGAACATGGTTACTCTATTGTACTAAAGCCACCATTTTAGTTTCTCCTGACTAGAATCTGCATCACTGAGCTACTAATCACCATTAAGATGAAATAGTGATCTACCATTTTTATAAAAGATAAAAATCTACATAACATTTCTATATTGTGAGTCTGTTATGAAAACAGTTCCTAAACAGTCCCACTCAAATGATTAAAGTCTGAATAATAACCCAACACAGGGGGCATTAAAATGTAAATATGGAGTTTTTAAGAAGAAAAACAGTAAGACTATCTTTTTGAGGTTAAAACAGTACCTATATGTACCTTTCTAGTAAGTAACAGACGAGCATCCTATCAAGGATGCAAGAGGACATGGTTATAGCACCTCCACCTCTGCTCCATTAGAAGCAAGGGCCAGCAAGCGAGGCCACCAAGTTGGTTGACAATGCAGGCACAACCTAACACAGTTATCAAAAGCTAAAATTCTAGGTAAGCTTTGCACTCATGAATAAAGACTGGGGGGAAATCTGGAGAGGGCAAACACAGAGAAACAGTGAGAACAGAGGTGAATGAAAGGGAGTCTATGCAATACTAAAGACAGTGGCCTTGTGAATTAGAGAACCTGAATCAGACCAGCAGCAGGTCACAGAACAGGTTTATTCCTAGTGTCCTCTATACAGACTGTTGGTACACGCAGCAGGCCATATTAAGTGCTTTGATTAGAAACTGGACCTGTGGACCCAGACCAAAAACTACCTTACTCCTTCCGTGATGAAAGACATGCCTTAGAAACAACCTGACCCTTGTCTGCAGTTATGTATAAGCTGTACCTCCCTGATTTAATTGTAGGGAACCTGAGGGCAGAAATCAACACTGCTAATGATAATTTTAAAGGATTAAGACAATCATGTTATACTGGCAAGAAATAATAGGGCCCAGAAGAAACTATATATTTGAAAGGAGGAGCAACAACTGGGAGGCCTTGGGAAAAACTACCTAGAGCTCTGAATCAGTATCTAGTTTCGCAAGTAAGAGGAAACCATATTTGCAATTACTCTGACTAGTGATAGCTCACATGCCCAAATTCCCACACTGTGCTATGGAACTAAGGAGAACAAGCAAAAAGCACCTAATTTAAGACTGAGGAATCAGAAAAAGGTTCTCAAGAAAAACAGCCCTAAACTAAGATGCTAAGGATGAACAGACGGAGCTAGTAAGGGCAGGAGGAAGTAGTTCTCTGCTAGAGGGAACTACTGTATTTTGCCGTATATAATGTGCTCCCATGTATAAGGTGCATCCTTATTTTTCCCTAAAAAATTTGGGCAAAATAGTACGTATTATACATGGAAAAATACAGTATTTTACAAAGACCCAGTAGAAACAAAGAAAGACAGCAAGTTCTAAAAACAGAATATTCCTCCATGGCTGAAGCATTCCGTGTATGAGAAGGCACAAAGCGTGAAAGAAAAAGAACATTAAAAACAGCCAGAGAGAAAAACAACAAAGGAACACTCAGACTGATAGGTGATTTCTCAACAGGGACAATGGAAGCCAGAAGTCAGTGAAATGTTGTCTTTAAAAGAGCTGAGAAATTCTTAAACATACAAAGCAAAATGAAGCATGTCCTCTGAACTGTGTGTACAGTGCTGATGAGCACTTAAGCACCCAGTTGTAGTCTCTAAACATCGTTGCCCACTAAACCGAAAGACTAATGAGAAATTGATAAACAGCATCAGAGAGGGAGATTTGCCACATCTCTCAATAACTAACTAAATAAGCAGAAAAAAACCAGGAACGAAATCTGAACACTACAATTAACAATGTTTGTGCGTATGAGTGCGCGTGTGGATGTGTACACACGCATACATTTCAGGCTGAAATAACAAAGCTACACAGGTGTGGAAGTGGGAAAGTACAGGATTGCTTCGGGGAAAACAAGAGTATGTGGTAGGGTGATACTATTAACAACGCAGGTGAGGGCTGTACTGGCAAGTGCACTATATGTAGAGGCAGGAATCGTACAATAACTGAATGCTGAGGTAAGAAAAACCTACACTGGTAGAAGAAACGCAAAGCAAGAAATTAAATATAAACTAGAGTTATACACTAAAGTGGAAATATAAATTATCAAATGATGAAAAACAGTATATACACAATAACTACTATTTTTTAAAAGCGTGTGTGTGTGTGAACACATGAATGTGTTTACGAAACACAGGTGACAACATGGGGAAGGGCAGGGGAGAGGGGAAAGCTGGACTTTCATTTTATCATGTTTTAATTTTTTACTGTCCTTTTTATAATGTATTATATTGCTTTCATAATATAAATAATATTAGAGATTAAAAAGAAAAAGAATACTTTCCTAGGGTGGAGGCCAAAGTTTAACTCTGCTAGTTTTTTGCAGCTATAATCAGCATTTCAAACAGGTACTAACCAGCCAGCCAGTCTGCCTCTATTACCTGACATATATCAGGATACTTACTCAGTGTGTGAGACTACAAGACAGGAAACTTTTAGAAAATAAATTTCCTAATACTCATCAGAACTGAATGACATGCTAGAATCATCATCCATGGCAATTTTACCCTAATAATTTTTTAAATTATAAAAGTTAACACATATTTGTTATAATTTACCCAACACAAAGATTATAAGACAATTATATACAAATTACTTTGCATCTTGCTGTTTATTCATCAGAACAATTTTTCGGTATATTTATCTTAATATATGCAAAATCCCACAGAAACAGGTGCTCCTGGAGTCAAGACACTTTTGTCTGGAAACACTAAAGAATAAAAATCTCAGTCTAGAACAGCAAGGCTGACAAAAATGGTAAAACAGGAACATAAAAACAACCTGATGACTGCAGGACAACAGTTTTTCTGTTTGCTTATTTGTTTTGTTTTTACAATACATCTTTCTGAACTACACACCTAGTCTCACGTTTGTTTAAATTATTACCAGTAGTCAAATAAACATAAGCCTAAGTAACCTAAGGCACTCCATGCTCACCCAGGCCACACCAAGTCAGAGCCCAGAGAAACCCCCAGAAGGCGCAGGGGGTGCCTCGCCCACCCAGCAGAGGGCTGAGTCAGACTCTGAACCACCTCCTCGAACAGCGCTCACAAAAATTAGATAGAGTGACCTATGATGTCACTGTGCCCACCCCATCTCAGGAAACCTTGGTCCCAAGAAATTACAACCAGTTTTTTGTCCAGACATATGTTTACTACACACAGAACACACTCCACCAAAGCCCAAGAAGAGTATCTCATCGAAAGTCTTCATACACAAGGATATTTTAATAATAAACTCCAACTTTCCACAGATTCACTAAGTTACCCTTACCTATAATATTTTTTTCTATCTGAAAACAGTAACAACTTGTTTTCCTCACTGGAGCACCATCCTTCAGATAGTTAATTAATTACAGCTCACGACTGGGTCCTTGTCTAGAACCCAAGCTTTTTCACAGGACCTACAATGTGTGAAAGACAAAACATCAAGGTCCTTTAACACTGTTAGCATTATCCGAGTTCACAACCACGCCACAATATGTAGTGCTTAAACATTTGTTGTATTTTTACTTTTGTTTTTTAAAAACAGATTATGTTCATTCAAAGGCAAAAGAGAAAATACATTCAGGATAAGGGCATCCTATCTTCTTCAAAATTCCTTACAGTTGCAAGAGATTTTTTTTTATTGTTTTACATGCTGTCATTAATTTGACTGCTTCATAGCTCTAAACACAAAAAACATTGAAAGTAATAACAGCATGACTTTAGCAGGCAATTTAATATGACACAACGAGATAATTACTTTTTTCCCTAAAAGTTGATTATTTACTGTCAATATTCACTCAAAACTTACTTCCAGTTCTTTAATTTTTTCTTCTGCTATTTTCTGTTTCTCTAACAGCTGATTGTGAATAACTTCCTTGGACTGAAGAATAAACCTAAAAAACACAAAAAAGCTGAAGATTAAGCCACACAACCATTTTAGTCATCAAAATCAACAGCTATAAACCTCCAATACTACATTAAGAAAGCAAAAGAATAATCTCCCAATTCAGGACTAATTATATGTACTGTTATGTTAATGTGACAAATTCCAGAAATCACCACAGGTTTAAGCCTTCTTGGCTTAGAAGGTTTAAAAGCTTAAAAGTAAATGTTGCCTTATCTAAGAAGGAAATCAGGCTTCAAGTAAATTCAAAGATAAAGAGAAAAAACATAAGGGATAAAAACCTAAAAGAGGTTAAGAGCAAAATTAACAATAAAAATCCCCTGTATTTTTTCCAGTTATCTGTATCAACTTTTATGCAGACATTTTTCAAGCAGTATTTATAAATTAAAGCTCTCCCTCCAATGTTATTTATTTTTTTATTTTTTATTTTTTTGGTAACAGCAGTAACTCATGACCTTTTAAAGTCACAATCAAGTACTGTGTTAGGATCAATGCATTAGTGTTTATATGAGTTTCTAACACAAAAAGCGTTGAATAAGGCCTAGTATCTTTTATTATTATTTCCAGAGTGTACAATACCTCTGAAAAGTTCTAAGTGTACAAGTGGAAAATTTAAACTTTTTCCATTTTATACTCAGGCATATTACTTACAATTGATGAGGATGGAAATATGAGGAAGCTTTAAAAATTAACACAATCTGTTTTATGACTTATGTTCGTAATTCTTGCTGTAGGGAAAGGAAGAATAAAATTTGTATAGCCTCCAATAAGTGAAATGGAGTATTTCCCTTCCACTGGAATTAAGGGAAAACCTCAGTTACTCAAACCTCTTTGAGGGCTGTCCAACTAGGCTGTAAAAGATTTCGATTAAAGACCACAATTAATTAAATGGATTGTTTCTCCTCTTTGTACATAATTTAGATTCTAACAAAAACTAAACACCATCTCTTAACAAACAGCCAAACAAGAAAAATAAATCAAAGTAGCAACATGCAGTTTCCTCTACCAACCTCATACAAACAAGTCTCTGTAGGTAGGTTCTTAGCAAGAGGGTATGTTATTTTAGGTAGAAACAGACCAAAAAGGGCAACTCTTACTTTGCCCAGACACCTGGGGGGGAACTGCTTTCCCCCAACTTCTTCACGAACACACCTTGGCACAAGTATTTACACAGTCTCTTTCACTCCACTAATTCCTAAGCCTGTGTCCTGATGTGGACAGTCCAGATAATTTAACTCATCATCCTAGTCTTCAGTCATAACCTGATCCTTCGTAAAAATCTTACTCATATATTCAGGCAAAACAAGAATTACTCTATAACTCTTTGCATCCAAATGTTATTATTAGTCCAAGAGAGAGGTGCTATTTTAATAAGATGGTTATACAGAATATTTTTCAAAAATAATTGCAGACTTATGATGCTTTAACTTACAATTTTTTGAACTTACAATAGTATGAAAGCAATATATATAATTATATGAGATATTCAACACTTTATTATAAAATAGGCTTTATGTTAGATGACTTTGCCCAACTGTAGACCGATGTAAGTGTTGCAAGCACATTTAAGGTGGGCTAGGCTAAGCTAAGACGTTTAGTAGGTTAGATGTATTAAATGCATTTTAACTTACAATACTTTCAACTTTCAATGGGTTTATTGGCACATGACCTGATCTCAAGCTGAAGAGCACCTGCATCTGGTGAACTATTCTAGGAGCAGAGCTGTTGAACGCTGTACCCAGTCTCAGTGATGCCATGTCAAAAGTATAAATCTAGGCCCGACAGTCATCAAATTATGTCATCTCATACACAATATTTCTAAGAAAGTCTTTTAGCCATGGAAATCACATTCAGAGTAAAATACACATTTTTAAATAGCAGTGATTGCTGCCCAGTGAGCAGTATCCTCAAATTGGTTATTAGTGTCTGGGAAATTTTCAAAGCTAAGATTAGAGGTCAAGTCATTACTTATGTGGCCTTTAAAAATAAAGTATCTGAACAGATACTAAATCCCTTGAGCAGAAAATAAAATTACTAGAAAGCAAGAACACACAACAACAAAACATGTTTTTCCATGGCCACACACCCGCGAGGTAGCTATCCTGGACTGTGCCAACCTCAAAGGCCAGAGAGATGCCACTGCAGCTGCCCAATCTACGATAAGCCTAAGAACATCTGAGCCATGAAAGTTTTAAACAAGGATAAGTACTGAGTAAACTCAAGTGCCTGTCTTAATGACAGTTACACAGTCAAAATTCAAGCAAAAAAGTTATGGGAAATTTGGTTTAGTTCTCAAATTTAAAAATGTCAAAGACACATGGTATAGAGACTGGGAAGGGCCCCAGGAAACATTTGGATTTCTGGAAAAAGTCTTTAGAAAATACCTTATTGACTGTTAACAAGGCACTGAATTATCAGATGCTATTTTGAAGATAAAGGATGTAACATGACAATGTAATCAAGAAGCACACGTCATACATAAATATTATGTGCACAGTTTCTCAACACAGAGGGTCTCACAGAGATCCCACCTGATCATTTATGGAAGACTAACTGGCAGGTAACAAATTCTGGAGTTCGGAATGTGCCACAAAGGAAAAAGGAACCATGATGACGGAAGTTATTTTTACATAACAAATGACAGGCATAGAATGTGCTTACAACACACAGGATGAAATAATCTAGACTCGAGTCACTGTTTTGTAAAGGGCCTCTTGACACTGGAAATCAATGCCATGTGGCCCTGCACTGTTGACTCTCAAGGGCCTGAAGCCGGCTGTTTCATTTCCTTATTTATTTGCAATCATGCCATCCAAAGAACACATAATTGTGTGATGGTCTTTGGCTGTGTTCTGAATTGTCCTGCAGACTAGAGCAGAACTTCTACTTTGTTCATATACCCAAAACACAATCCAGGGTCAGTGGCAATGATGTCTTTTGGGTACCCTTCCAAACTATGGTCACCTGGACACATACCATTCAGAGACAATAACATGCTTGTGATAATGCATTGTGTTTGGGTAGAAAATTTTTAAAGCACATCTGAAAACATATTCTAATGGCATTTAGGGCATCCACAAATTAAATGGCACAGGAAAAGCTGAAGAAGAATGAACTTATCTTGCTTCTTTGCCTCATCCCACTGGTGATGAAAACTACTTGCATGTGCACAAAGATCTATGTTCAAAAAATATTTTACTTCGTAATTTTTTTAGGGAAAGGAAGGTAGGAAGGAAAAGAGGAAGGAATGAAGGGAGGGAGGGAGGAACCTAAATCCTTAGTAAGGAAGCAATGAACAAATTATCCTACATCCATATTGGAGGATGCGGAATAAACAGAGACTTCTCTTTATGGCATAACGCAGAGGAGATACCATGAACATTCTTCCTGAGCAAAAACAAAGCCAAAAAATCTCATTTTAAAACACTCAGCTGAACAAACACAGATGAAAAGTAGTAAAATCAGGAATTCTAGAAGGTAAGAAAGCAATAAATTCCCTTTCTTTAAAAGCCCCTGAGAGCCTCGGCTGCTGTGGCTCAGTGCATTCAGTGCCGGCCTGTGAAACAAAGGATCGCCGGCTCAAATTCCAGTCAGGGCACGTGGCTGGGTTGTGAGCCAGGTTCCCAGTAAGGGTGTGCAAGATGCAATCACACATTGATGTTTCTCTCCCTCTCTTCCCCTCTCTAAAAATAAGTAAAAATCTGAACAACAACAACAAAAACCTGAGAGTCTCTGCTGAATTCCAGAGAACTTGAGCATCCATGCTGACACAGAAACAGAAGATAAAATCTAGGGTCTATCCAAACTCAAGACAGTACTAGGAGAATCCCTGATTAAAGCCAGCTCCCCAAAGGGTTCCACCTACATTCTAAAAGTGAAGAATAAACTTACTTCTCAAAAAAGTAAAATAAAGAAACTCGTCTATCGATACCTTGGTAATGAAAAAACAAAAACGTTCCCAAGAATGTATAAGAGTAAACTGGTCTCCTCATGGGTTGTGGCTCAAATTCAACCTAATACATGACCCAGAAAATCTCAAGCACAGAATATAAATTACAATGTTCCCAATAGGGGGACGGCAAAGTTCAAGTAAAACTTGAAGATGGGTTAATAAAAATTAAACACCCTGGCTGGTGTAGCTCAGTGGATTGAGCACAGGCCTGCGAACCAAACGGCTGCCAGTTTGATTCCCAGTCAGGGCACATGCCTGGGTTGCAGGCCAGTGTTCCTCCCACTCCCACTAAGGGACATGCAAGAGGCAACACACACTGATGTTTCTCTCCCTCTTTTTCTCCTTCCCTTCCCCTTTCTCTAAAAATACATAAATAAAATCTTAAAAAAATTAAACTAAAATCAAAAAGCAAAAAAGATATAAAACACAATAAACAACAAAAAAAGGAACACAGTACACAAAACCTAAGATACGATAATGAGCAGTCTACTGTATGTGTATTAAGATCCAGAAGAAGAGAGAATGGAACAAGAAATTTTTCTAAAACTAATTTTTAAAAACCACAACTTAAACTCAGAGAAACCCAAGCAAAATAAAAACAAAACAAAAAAAATAGATGTAGCATAATCAAACTACTGAAAACCAAAATAATCTTTTTTTTAAAGATTTTATTTATTTATTTTTAGAGAGGAAGGGGAGAGAAGGAGAGAAATATCAATGTGTGGTTGCCTCTCGTGAGTCCCCTGCTGGGAACTGGCCTGCAACCCAGGCATGTGCCCTGACTGGGAATCAAACCGAGATCGTGTGGTTCGCAGGCCCGCATTCAATCCACTGAGCTACACCAGCCGAGGCCCAAAGTAATCCTGAAGACAGCCAGAGAAAGATACATTACAGGAAACAGAGTCACAGCAAACTTCTTGTCACAAACTATGCAAGGCAGAAGATGATGCAATGACATTTTGAACAAATCAAAAAAACAGCTATTAACCCAGCATTAGATACACAGTGAAAATAACTTTAAAAAATAAAGGTTAATT